GGTTATGTCAAGCACGACTGTTCTGAATTCCCTTGTGTATCTCAACTCACGTTTACCACCAGTCTTGGAAAGACATATGGTCCATATGGAGGTGGGGGTGGAACCTTTTTCCAAGTCAATGTAGAATATGACGAGATTAAGGGCTTTTTCGGACATGCAACTACAGAGTATCTCACTGCATTTGGAGTCTACGTGATGCTGGCTTAGCCAACCCTTGTGGAGGGTGTTGACTATCTATCTATCTCTGTGTGCCATGATGAATAAGGATGCCAATGTCTGTTACTGGCATCTATGTTTGAGTTGGGTGTCTGTTTACTATCTATCTATCTTCATGCACTAATAATATGATGATGTGTCTCGTTGGTGACATTTGCAACACATCGTTGGCCCATTCGGTAATAATAAGTTTAACATTCCCACTTATAAACTATAAATATTTTCTTGTGCTTCACCAACTTATATGATATATAATATCTGTGTAGTCGTAATTTCATAATCACTCAAAGTGAAATACCAAAAGTAAATTTGGTAAATCAAGTTCGACAAGATTATTTAAGTTTATAATCAAAAGAGTCCCTCCCAGTAACATCATCCACTAACGAATTGATATTTTGAAAAGAAGCATAGCATCTTAAATTTCAAGTTATAATATGATATAAATAATAATAGTATGTTAAATATACGATGATGAAGATTATAATTTTACTCTATATTTTAGCTCATCCACTTTTGAAGTCAAAATCTAAACTACATTTTTATTTGTTACTGAACAACAATCTTCTATATTTGTTACTTCCAAGAAACAATCTTCTTTCTATGGTACCACATGGAGATGCATAGTGCTTTCTAGGAGGGATGGGGTCTCATTTTCTTAGATTTCCTGTTGCCTCATTCTACTAGTTGCTCCTTAGCTCACAATTCGGCTGCCTTATGATCGATTCTTCGTGAAGCTATGGATCTACTAGTAAGTAAGTCAGTCAGTCTGACCAAACTAGGGACGCTTGATTTGATATCAAATGTGAAGTTGTACTAATGTATCTGAAATATCTTAGAGCATTTTAAGGTTCATCTCAGTTGTAGCCTTATAGGCGATCGTGCAACTAACCCGTTAGAAGATCATTGTGGTTTGATTAGTATCACTTTTTGAGTTCTTTGAGCAGGTTTAACTTCACCGGTTTAATTAATGAACGAGTCCTTAGTTATATGTATATGCCTATTGTTAGGAAAATACGATAAAGAAGAGGATAAAAATACTATGGAAACAAATAACAAACACAGGATCAAGAATACTTTTGGAAAGATATTTAGGCTTGATACATGTATAAACACTTTCCTAAAAATAATATTTGCACCCTCTTCTCAATAAGATTGCTATGAGTTTGATGCAAATAGTTTTAATGGATATGACAAGTCTTTAGAAGATCTGTATTGAGCAAACAATAAAAAATCTTCAAAGAGAAATTAAAAAATATCTAATTCAATCACTTGGAGAGTAAAGAAGAAGAATATGAAAAAGATGTCTAAATAATTTACCCTCAAATATCTATTTATAGATATTTTATCAAAAGACATCATATTTGAAAAATAACTACCAAAATAACTATAAAAGAAAATATATTTTCAAATAAATCTTTTGAAAAAAAATTCTTTTTTCTTTTTAATTTGAACAATTTATAACACCTATATGGATGATCATCGAGTGTTTCAAGATCAACTCGTAACGAACAATTTCTATTACGCTACTTTCTAAAGCCCAATGGACGTACGTGTCTATTCAGATGCAGTAGCATCAAAATACTAGTCCAAGACTACACTCAAAAAGAAAGAAAGAGGCTGGTTCCCATCATAACCTTGGCAAGAGTGTTTCATTTAAGGACCTATAGAGTGAGCACTGAGACCCACCCCATGGTTGTCCTTGTGGTGTCTAACAATCCTATCTTCTTTATTCGCTATTTGCAGAGATTAGTCGTTACCAACTGTCAATTATTTTGGTGAGGAGGATCTCAGGGTTTGGTCCAGCGGATCTAAGAAAGTCCGACTATAACTTACGAATGAAGATTCAGTCTCGTTCAATGATTTTTTTTATATTTAAAATATTGTTTTTTTATGACGATAACTCACAAGAGATTGAAGGTTCCAAACAAATTTGTGAACCTGCCAACTAAGCTAGCTGGTAAAAGCCTTAATTATTGATGGCAAGTTAAAAACAAATTTAAGCATCAGTTCCCATCATCACCACTTACAATTTCCAAGAAAGAAAGAAAGAAAAGGATAAATATCATCATGCCACTAGAGACATAAATACAAGAAAATTAATTAGGGTAAAATCTGGAGACGAACATTCAATAAAGCATCTCAGTGCACTGCAAGTTGGTGCACATTGGCGTAATTTTTGTCGGCTAGGATTAGAGTGGAACAACCAGAAAACATATCAGGCAAAATTTGGAGTCAAGGGTCAGACTCTCTTACCATATTTCTATTTTAGTGCATTCTTGGGTTTTATGTTCTATATCATATTTACATTTGGTTTTTCCCTACAACCATATTTAATCTGCATATACTGAACAAAAAAAGAAAGTTGCTTGTTGGAGTGACAACAGACTGCAAGAATGAAGCAGTCCAGGTGGATATCAGAATACTCATTTGCATGGATAAAACAACACCGTTATTGTGATGCATAGTGGGTCTGTGAGGGAATGTGGGATCACTAAGAGGAACACATTTAAGAAATAAACCATGGGAAGCAAGATTTTCTCAGTTACAAGAAACATAGGACTATATATTTTTTTTTTTCTATACAGCTGTTATATCATATGGGTAAACAAATCAGCATAAGAGGATATGAAAAAGAAAAAAAACACAGAACAAGAAAGAAAACGCAATCAGAATACTCTAGTGATATTTCCTGGTTTGCATTCACATGTGCACAAATTTCTTGAACCTTCCACAGTCCGTTGTGACCGCCTTGTCTGCAGCTTGATGTTCACCAATTTACCAGCAATCTGTCGTATCCAAATGGAGGAAATAAAAGAATTAGAATGTACGGAAATCAGCAAATGCAATTTATTCCACCTCCTTTTATATTATTCTCTTTTTTCTTTTTCCCCCTTAAATGCTGACCTAAAAAGATGACGACAATCAAGCAAAATTAAACAGAACAAAGTGACGTCTAGAAATTATTAGTACGACTGAAATAATTATTGTGAGCACAAGATCAACCGATTTCATATTAAGGAAAACAAACCATTCTCCACGTCATGTCCTCTGCACCAAGAGGCTGAGCTGGACTTGAATATAAGAAGTGCCTCGAGTACTGCAAATGTCCAACAAAAGACAACCATAGATAAGGTGGGGAAAAAAGTTTATCCTGATTTTATCAAGCTACTAGCTTTTTCAGAGTCCAAGCAGAACAAAATAACATAGAATAGTTTAGTCATACAGAAAAGAACCTTGGCAATGTCCATCTGCATTTCTTTGATTTGCCTGGAATCTATATTCTTAAGGAACTTAATAAGCCATCCATGTTGTACAGCATCTTTAGAAGAAACAAAAAGCGCGATCTGCATACATCAAAATATAGAACTTCAGTGTCAGGAACACCATTTATAAATTACATCAGAGACAGAAATACTAGCATCTATAGTTTAAGAAAATATACAAAATAGTGAAGTCCAACAGAAAAATGGAAAAAAGATAAAGAACCAAAATGAAATATGTAACATAGAATGCTATGATGAAAAATTCTAACATCCTGATAACTCATAGAGGGCTTAGAATACTCTATGGAAGCCAAAGGCAAAATAGTCAAATTAAATTGGTCTTAGTCCCTACTAGGCTCCATAGCAGTTGCGTGTCCATGAGAGCTCAATGTCTAGATAGTAGATTATATTAAACAACACCCAAACCAAGTCTCTTGGTGACTGGATCCAATTACCAGATTGAGTGCTAAAGAGAACACAATCATATTCAGATTAGAATTATTCTTTCATTTTGGTCATTGATTTTGGAGGCAACCTTTGAAAGTTCTCTAGAGTCCTATTCTAGTCTAATTAATCTCAAAAGTTCTGATATTAGTATAAGGGTAGTTACTTTCCTGATAAGACTAAAATTCTAGGAGTTCTAAGATCTTGTTTCAAAGGAAGGGAATACATATTTTAGGGGCTCTTACTGTAGCCCGACTAGTATCTTTATAGAACCATGGAATCTCTATCTCTAGTGGTAGAAAAATATCAATCTGAAGGCACTAGAGAAATGTTGCACTGAAGTTAGATTGGAAACCTTCCCTTCGGTGGTCCAAACTTAATGGAGATAGTTCAAGGAAATATTTAAAATAAGTGAGTTAGGATTTGTTATCTGAAATGATACTGCCAATGCAATTTTATGTGGTTGCAGGTAACATCTGTAATACCAGGCAGCATGGTACAAAATTGACAGTATACACAATTTCGTATCATGCCACCCGAACACTGATACCTGAAACAAGGTCGAACTGGCTGCTTTGACCCAAAGTATCATATCTGGGTGGTACACCCTTCATACCATTCGATATGGTCGAAATTCGACCATCACTAACTAGTATAAGTAGGTAATGATTGAATTTCGACTGGTACCAGCCCCAGACGATCGAATTGCCCATTAGGACCTCTTTAGGGCTTCTATAAGCCCCTCTCTACCCTCTCTTTCTCTCTCTCATTCCCTCTCAATCTCTCATTGTCTTTTTTCTTGGGGCAAGAATGCAAGAGAAGTTGTATTAAAAAATAAAGATGGTTACAATGTGCAGGGTCAAGCTCCACCACACCAAAAGTGTACAGAGCATCACAAACATCCCCCAAAGGAGGCCAACCCCATATTTAGAGACAGCCAAAACATGCAAGGGACCCATGAGAATCATGTCATTCTGATGTATTCTCTTTTTTAGCGCATCAGCTTCAATCAGCCTTCGCAATTCGTCCAAGAACTCTGAAAGTGACAACAAGATCTTCTCCTTGAACTTACACAGGTGAGTGACAAAGTCGATTGGCTTGTTAGCTTCTCGATGGATGGAGAATTCTAGAAATTCAAAGCACTCTCGAATAATATGAATATGCTCAAAAGTAATCCAGCACCACCATGGCGTACTATAACGACCATTGAGGATATCCACCACGACTTGTGAACTGGACCAAAGATGGACCGAGTGGAATGGCCTTCTTCTAGCTTCAGAAAGGCTAAGGAGGATAGCCTATAATTCAAAGCACTCTCGAATAATATGAATATGCTCAAAAGTAATCCAGCACCACCATAGCGTACTATAACGACCATTGAGGATATCCACCACGACTTGTGAACCAGACCAAAGATGGACCGAGTGGAATGGCCTTCTTCTAGCTTCAGAAAGGCTAAGGAGGATAGCCTATAATTCATGTTGAATAATGGGACCTTCAATCTACCTTCTGCTATAGAACAAAAGGAGCTCCCAAAATGGTCACGAAAAACACATCCCAAACTAGCCATGGAGGTGGAAAGGGATGCATCGATATGTAAGACAATAATGCCCTCAAAGAGGGGGGGTTCAATGGTGCCATGTAGACTTAGCAGTTGCAAAGTTTGGATATAGATTCCAATTTGCAGCAATAGCCCGACTTGAAGCAATGTCTGCTACAGTTGTGGATTCATTTTGGATTCTCCTGTTCACATCTTGCACAATTGCTGAGATAATGACATCTAGAGGTCTTTGGGCATTTGACGTAAATCTTTGGTTCCTCTCACGTCTTACATAGTTGTGGATTCATTCTGGATTCTCTTGCTCACGTCTTGCACATTTGAAAAGATAATGACATCTAAAGGTTTCTGGGCGTTTGACTTAAATCTTCGGTTCCTCTCAACCTAGATATAATATATTGTAGATGTGAAGGATAGTTTTCCGATTTGACTTATCAAACTCTCGTTGTTTCATTGACTGCATACCCATGCCAATTCTACGTTCCACCCCTATAGGGGGGTGGGGTAGGTTGCATCTACTCAATATGGCTGCCCAAACACGTGATGAGAAAGTAAAATCAAAGAATAGGTGATGGATGCTTTCATCTCCTTGACTAAATAAGTAGCAGGAAGATTTGGTGTAGATTCGCCACATTATCAGTCTATCCAAAGTGCTTAATTTGTTCAAACAAACAAGCCAAGAGATGAAAGAATACCGTGGGATGTCGACACTCCACACTTATTCACAATCTTTATATTATGGAGGATCTTATGACCAATAAATATATGGTGATAATTGGTCATTTTCTTTCGAGCTTGATTGTTTATAGAATACAGAACAATAGGTCAATGGTGCTAGTAAAAGATCCAGTGCACTCCAACCTCCCTGGCCCTATATGCCACATTCATAGTTCCTCAAGGCTCCTCAGACACATGTTGTTAATGACGATGAGGCAACAATCGTTATCATGTTGATGCATCAGTGATGTGTCTTGTTAATACAATATATCATGGGAGCAGTTCCAAGATTCGGTGGTAGTTGAAATCCTAAATTTTTGATGCATCAATGACCACTGGTTGTGGAATCCCATCATCTATTGTGGTGGTAGTTGAAATCCTAAACTTTTGACACCTAATCCAACATCTCAACTCATATCTTTGGGCACTAAAAGCTACATATTCTATCTCTTCACATGCTCAAAAGCAAGGTTTGACGTACTGAAGCATATTGCTCCGTACAAGCAGTACATATCGGTCCAATAGAGGATCGGTACGGGTGATAGATCGGTACATCCCAATGTACCATGTGTTAGTATGCTCGGTACAGATCGACACGTACCGTAACGATAGTTGGTTGGTACACTGGTATGGACTAGTAATGTGAACCATGCCCAAAAAACTTGAGTTAAGTAACAAAGACTTTGTCCTTCAAAACTATGCCTCTTTAATAATCACCACTATCACATTGAGTTGTGCTCCTACACAATCAACAAATCAATTGCTGCCTGAAACTCAAAGTTAGGGCTAACCAGGTCTCTTAGGTCTTACACCAAGGCCATCCTAAGCCCGAGAAGGGGTCGGTCAAGTGGTAGACAAAGAGGAGTCCTATCCTAATGATGTCTCAAATGGACTACAATATCTTGAACAACCCTCGTTAATGAAATCTACACTAGGCTATGCATCCTATTCTCTGCACAAATGGTGGGTAAATTGTCCTTACAATTTGCAGTACAAGATTCTAATTATTATTAATCCAATTTAGTACCACTAGCAAATATTCCTTTATAGGGGTGAAGCAATATCTTTTAATTAAAAGTAACGAAATTTTTTTGTCTTTACAATTTGTGGTATGTAACATCTCTCTTCATCCCTCACATTGTAAGAAAAATAATAATTTCATGATGCGGTATCGTCAGAACATCCTGGCCTACTAGTGTAGTGTGGCAATCAAGTAGACTTGAGAGGCAAAAATTCCTTAAAGATGCAATCCTCACAAAACCTAGGTCAGTTTGTTCTACAGTCATCCTCAAACCACCATGGACAATCACATTCGAAGGTTGGAGGTGATAATTTATTTAATATATACAATTTGAAAAAATGTGATCTAACAAATGGCAGCAGTCAAATTTATGTTTGATCTTGGACTCCACTTGATGGGGTACTCTCCCCCAACCTTTTGCTCATAAATTTATCCCGACTACATGTTCAAGAAAATTTTAAAAATTGTGCACAAATTGACATAAATGTCAGCATGCTGTATAATTCTATTATAGAAAAACTTGATTTTCTGTTCAGCATTGGCTGCCCAATCAAATGACCTCCAATTTTGGCGACTTCAGTCGAGTCTTTTTTAGACACCAAGAAGTTCTTACAACAGATCAACATCACACAATTCAACAAGAGAAAATCCAACATGTTGTCTCTCAAACCTACAGTTCTGGATTTATAAACCTAGTGAAACTTGCAACAGAAAGACCTCACAAAAGACTGATTTCTAATGCAGAATTTTCCAAATCCAAATAGATACCATTTCGATGATCATCTATCTAAGAAACAAGTTGAAAATTTCATAAGTGCCTTCTTACAAATAAGGTGTACTTGAGGGACGAAGATTTGTTATAAATGAAAAATTCTAACAATCCGAAAAATCCTTACTCAGTCCAAAATATTCTACAAAATTCAAGGCCTAATAGTCAAATTGGATTTATGACGATCCTTACTAGGCCCCACAACACTTGGTTGGGTCTGACATCCAAATCATGACTATATAAACTGGATCCAGTCAAGACTATAGAGAACATTTTGAGAGGCCTTTATCTTATTTGAATTTAAAATATAATTAAATTTTCGTCATTGTTTTTTAGAAAAAATTTGAAAATCCTCTAGTGTCCTATTCGAAATTTAATTAGTCTGCAAATGGCCTAATATAGGTGTAGTAGTATAGATTATGCTAGTTATTTTTTACAGTCTGAATTCCAAGTTCTAAATTGCTGATCAAGAGGGATTTCTGGTGACATGGGATACTTGTAAGAATATAAACTCAAGTTTTATCCTGCACTGGTTGGATACAAGATGGAGTAAGGATGAGAGGCTATAACTAAGTTCTCATAAATCCTTGATGCATCACAAATTGTGTAATTAAATTTCCTATCTTTATTGTTTCCTTCTATTTGTCTTCTCTTTGTTCTTTCTGCTTTACTTTCTTGGAGGTGCCCTTCCCTCAAAGAAAGAAGGTGCTTGATAAGAAGCATGAGAGAGACATCATTTATAAAGGCTTGAAGTCATGATGAATAATTGGTTTTATACATTAAGCCAGACTATTGACTTTCTCTTTATTGTTTTGTGTTTGAAGTATTTCAGTGAGTATTTGTTATTTATGCATATGATTAACGCAACAGTAATAATTGCCTAAATTGATTAATTGTTGCATCCAGTCATGTTATATATTTCTTATATAAGACTTCTGTCATCATCATCATATATGCATAGTGTCCATGTCCATCCTTCATAAGAGAGTAATGAAAAGAAAAATCCAAATTCATCAAAAACAAAAGGGTGGCTTACTAACATAAGGTTAGGAGCACGATTTGCCATTTCGGGGACTAGACCCGACTTGGAGATTTGTCAATACGATATGTATCAATCTATATCGGTGCATCGACACATGGTACGTTGGGACGTGCCAATAGGGACTTGGGCGAGGCGTGTCTCAATGGCGAGTTGAACGAGTTCGCTTGTACCATACCGACTCAGGCAGTACAACAAACCTTGGTTAGGAGTCCTATCTAGTTCCACATTTGAACATCTACTCAAGGCTGAATATTCACCAAGTAGTTGTATTTATGCTGACCCATCTCTATGCAAATACTTCAAGTCCTAGAGGCAAAAGGACCGTACCCATTCAGGATTTTGCTTTCAAGAAAATTCTTCCCATCACACATAGTGGAGTAATGGCAGCCTTACCAAGTAAAATGAAATGACTTTAACTGAGCAACTACTGTATCAAGTCTTCAATCCAATGGTTATCCGAAAAACATAAAGGAACTTTCAAAGCTAAAATATACAAGTGCAAAAGATGCATTACCTTCCGATAATCAAGTATTCCTTCAAAAGGAAGCTCTAATTCATCACTGACAATAACAGGTATACATCCACTAACTATTGCGTCAAACAGCCTAGCAGAGGATGGGGTATCCCCAGCAGGGCTGAGGCAAAAGAGAGATCTACCATGAATGCAACACAAATAAGTTGATAGGTGTAATAATACAAGGTTCTACAAGGATAAATAACTAATATCATAAACAAATTACCTGCGCATGCCATTCTGAGCTGCAGCTTTCCCAGATTCACCAGCACTTCCCTCTTCTACAATAACACCCTCAGTGTTATGCAATGCTTCCACAAGTTTACTACGAATTTTACCTCCCTGGACAAGAAATACACCCTTGGTTTGAGCATACAAAGACAAATAGCTTCATGCCCAAAAGGAAAGTAACATACTAGTCAAGAAGATCATCATTTTTATGAAAAGTGGAGGCAAATCTTACAGCATTTCTCTTAAGCCTTCCACGAAAGAATATCAATGTTTTTCTTTCTGACTGCACGTCATGTAAGCATTGTGAATTACAAAAATCAACATTGGGAACATAAGGAAGGATAAGGTCTTTTTCTAGCCAGACTTGCCCTGGTTTATACCTACCATAGTTAGATCCAAATTCAAGATTACTGCATGGCACATATGAGAGGGTCTATAGATTGCTGGAAAAAAAGTACATGATGTTATTACCAGTTTCCAGTGGAGTCCATATCTGGTAGAAGCCAAATTGCATTTTTCATGAACCGGCGAACAGATTTGAAAGACCAAGGGTGATGGACTGGAAGTATATGATCTCTACCTCCAGATCTTTTCCAGGCAGCCTGGTCAGTCACCCACTTTAAAGCCTCCTGATATCAAATAGAACTGCAAAATAAGATATTTGATCCATGGTACCCAACAAAACTACTTCAAGCATTGATGAAACAAATTTTTTCTTGCAACTTTAGTGAAAGTCAACACTTATTACTTGTCCATTTCTGTAATATGAATACATCTATGGTACACTTAAATAATTAAATTTAGAGTACTAGTCAGGTGTCGAACTTTAGATAAGTAATTATAGGTTTTATATATACAGTTAGTTTCAAATATATATTACTAAATTAGTTTCTAAATTTTATTCAATTAATTATGGACATGGATTCACATTTACACCGACTGCATCATATCAATCTGATCCTGTGTCAATGGGCAATATACTAGAGCATACCGAAGTATACCAACACCTAAACTAATATTTAGTACTTTTACCACTATATTAAACTATGCCACTTCATATTAGACAAAGTTGGTGGTCACATTTTTATCTTTTTACATATACCTAAGAGTTGATAATACAAAATGACAACCACTAGATAGGCTCTTTAGCATATAATATCTTTCTGTAAGTTTGAATGTTTTGCTTAAGAAGCTTGCACAGTAGGTCATTATCTTATAAAATTTACAAGCAATCTATGATATGTATCTTTGCAAGTTACGTGGGAAGGTATCTCAGCATGGCACAAACCAAGAATAGTATTAAGATTTGTCTCAGAATACAGGATAACAAGATGCAAAAAGAACTTCAAATGTCAGGGTACTGTATAATCAAGATTGTTTTTGACAAGATAAACCCTTGGTTCAGTTCTTCTATATCCATGCTCATGTTTGCATCCCTCTGGGTAGTTACACAATGGAATATAGTGTACAAAACAAACATGGACCAAGCAAAGATGCACAGTCAACAAATAACATAAGCCTCAGAAAGTACAACCAAGCATCTAAATCAACAATGACTAAACCACTTACTTTCTTCTAAATACCTTGTGAGTTACAGCATGTAAACTATCAGAAATCGAAGATAAAGATTTAACTAATGAAACAACTTATGTCAAAACCCTTTAGGTAGTAAATGTTGCATTATTGTTTTATTCGTAAAAAAGGTTAGAAGATGTATGATCAGTATGAGTAGTCTTTGCATTTTAAAATTGAACCTCGGGTCAGATTCACCAGACGCTTTAATGGACCGGTTCGGGCCTTGAACTACATGACCGAGTGATTTTGAAGGTCAAGGTTCAGCCTCTGTAGCCTCTAAGCAGTCTAGGCAATGCTACGACAAAAACAAAAATTTAATTTTCAGCTTTTACCACATACCGAGCTTGACAGCAGACACAAATACAGACCTAGGCTAGACCTTGTTCTCAATTATCCTGACATATCCTCCTCACATCCCTTGATAGGAGCGGCCAAACAAAAAGGCTATCTGGCCTATCAGCAATGGAACTTGGAATGACTCTAGCTGGTCTTGTATGCCCTATTTTAAGGGCCCTGATACCAGATCAGTGGCTAACATAGCATGGGATGATGGGGCATCTTTCTCGATGCAATGGACCAGCTTATATGACAATCTTACTAGGCTTGAAGACCATTTGCTACTTGAAATCAGAGTAGATTAACAAATGGCACAAACTTCAAGCATGACTACCAGATGGAAATAGGATTCAGTTAAGTGATAAGACCCTAAAGTCTTATCGTGGAAGAAAGGGGAGAAATGGGGATGATAATGATCGCTTCGAGGGGATCGGCCTCCTTGATCGCTTCGAGGGGATCGGCCCTCCTTGATCACTTCGAGGGGAACGACCCTCCTTGATCACTTCGAGGGGGTTGAGGTGAAGGCTGCGGTGGCTGGCAGCAGCAGTCGTTGCTGGCCGGAGCGCAGCGGCGGCGGTGGAGAAGGAGGCAGGCTGGGCGGCGAGCGGCGTTGTCGCTAGCTGGGCAGCAGCGG